TGTAAAGCACTTTGAATTACTTTGTGTACGAATTGTGCTCTACAAATAAACTTGCCTTGCCTTGCCTAATGATATGGAAAGCCTTGTCATGCAAGTTGACAGGATTGGTTCCTTAGGTTTGTGACGTAAGAAACCCTGGCTGATTGAATCTGTGCTTTTCATTGGTACACTGCTGTTCTACGGCAGAAATGCTCAGCCATGGCGTTGACTGCTTATTTCACTTATGATACGTCTTGTAGCATATGAAAAACATTATGTGGACGTGTTAACAAGGTTAAAAATGTTTTCATTAGAGGGGGTCCTAAAATATCTAAAGCAAGTTTCATGATAATCTGCAAGTTGTTCAGATATTTCAGTTTAAAGTGGTGCACTGAATGACGACCAACATTGCTGCTACCACGGCTAAAGACAAAGGTGTGATTAGATAGAGCCGGATTTTGATCAAAACAAGTTTCCTGAAACACTCACCAAATATAAACACCATGGTGCTGATGAGAGGAATGAGGCTTGCTGCAGATTGGTGGCTAGCAGCCAAAGTGTAGTCCAAACCCACAGTGACATTAGGAGGGACGGGGCCTGGAGGGCAAGGTGTGGTATGGGAGTTCATGGTCAGAGTCAGCGTGGACAGGAACATCAGCATGCTGGATGTGTAAAGCAGGGCTTTCCGTCCTGCCTTGTCCATTAAACAGGCTGCCACGGCAACAGAAAAGAGGCGGACCGCACCCACAATGGCAGCATCATACCTGACAGACACAGAACGCGGAGGGATCAGTATCAGGAACAGACCAAACAGATTTTGTGATTAAAATAAAAGAGGAATAAATAGATACATAATAGACATAAATAAAGAACAGACCTGGCCTCGAGGGGAAGTTTGCTTTTGGAAAAGATGGGCTCCAGGTACACCAAGATGGGCGTGATGCCCGTCATCTGCTGCAGGAAACGCATCATCACTGAGATGAAGATTGGCCGGTAGTAGTTGGGTGTGGCCAGCTCTGACCATGTGACTTTACCCTGTGTGTTGATGCTGTGCTGCATTGGGACACACACAGATAAACAGATAAACATGTGTGCGAACATCTTTACATTTATTTAAAAGTCTCAATTGGAAAAGTGGATGACGTGACACCTAGGCGAGACATTTGCCAAGCTGCAGACCGATGTTTGAGACCAGCAAACAACAAAACAGGCAGTTTGTTTTAGCAAGATATCAATGGCATTTCCAACTGTGAGTTTGCCTCCAAAAATAGGTGTTTTTCAAGGCATCTGCAACACTTCCAGCAGCAACTGTGCCACCAAAATCAGGGGGGGTTTAAGCAAGACATTGGTGGTATTTCCAGCCATTCTTGTGCCACCAAAACCAGGTGTTTTAGTGTGTTTAGCAAGACACTGGTGGTATTTCCAGCAGTGATTGTACCTAGAAAGCTAGTTGTTTTTTAATAAGACATTGGCAATATTTCCAGTCATGCTTGTGCTACCAAAACCAGGTGGTTTTTAGTGTTTTAGTAAAACATCTGCAACACTTCCACTTACTGAGTTTTTTTTTTAGCAAGACATTGGCGGTATTTCCAGCTGGGTTATTGCCACCAGAACCAGGTAGTTTTTCTTTGTGTTTTTAGCATGTTCAAGGTTACTTTATTCCCTTCTCCCTTCTCCCTTGGGAGACATTTGTCTTGGATAAAGGGAAACTGCTGCGTCAAACCAGACATTACAATACAAAACATTGGACCCGTGCAAAACATTCACTGGTGCAAATTCGACACTGCAAATTACAATTACAGGGCATACTACTACTACCTGGGTATTCAGACACATTTCCACTTGTGCACTCACAAACTCACACATTCTTCTTCATACTTAAATACTGTATACACTATATTTTGTACTGCTCCAAGCCTGCTACCACAAATTTAATCAACTACTTACTGCAGACCTTAAGGGCCTCCTATGTTTTTGTCTGTTCTCCATGTGCCCATGAATAAGTTTGACTGAAAGAGACCATTTCCAGCGGCGGTTGTGCCACCCAAACCAGTTTGACATTGGCGACATTTCCAGCTGTGATTTGCCACCAAAACTGGTTAATTTAAGCCAAAGCATGATCTTTTTCTAACCATAACTATGTGGTTTTGTACCTAAGCATAACTAAATGATAACCACAGTGCTGTAGAAATGTAAAGGTTCAACATTTTCACCTCATGATAACGTACAAATGTTCCATGTGTGTGGTTTGCAGAAACACAGACAACGCAGACATTTATTCTGGCAATTGGGTTGAGTATGATGTTGCAGTCTTAAAACCATGACCCTCTTACCTTTATGGCACTGAGCTCAGACTGTGTGTCGTAGTGTTTTCCCCTCAGCCAGCGGATGACCCTCTCAGCCTTCTGTTCTTGGCCCAGAACGAGGAGCCTCCTGGGGGACCTGGGCATGAACGCTAGCAGCACAACCATCAGCAAAGCTGGCACCTCCCCCGCCACTGCCAGCCACCGCCAAGGTATCACCAGACCTGCACATCATACGTGATATTCAGATTATGAGAGAGTGGAAGCAGGAAGTAGACTCGTTTTCAGGATAGGAGTGTCAGCTTAATGTTTATAAACAATGCTCGAAATTAGTATTTATGCAGCCATATTGGTATGTTCCTACCCATGGCGTAGAGCGCCAGTGCCCCAAACACAGCAGTGATCTGAGGACAGGAGCCCAACGCTCCTCTCACTGCCTTGTGGGAGATCTCTGAGATGTAAACCTGCGATTTACCCACATGAACAAAAACATACAATCACAAACTTTACACAATTGTTGTCAGCATCATCATAATAAACTATTTGGTAAAAAAAGAGGTAATTGGGACAAAAAGAAAAAAACTTGCACAAATAGGTTAAAATAAAAGTTCCTGTAACCATGGTAACCTACAGGGATGGATGCTGCGGTCATCCCACCAGCAACACCTGTGAGGAAACGGCCCACGTGAAGCATCCACAAGTGGAAAGCCCCTCCCATCAGCATGTATCTAAGGCACATACAGAGAGGAGTTTTTAAAGTTAACAGTACACTCAGACTCAAACACAGACACCATGACCCATCTATGGATTTTAATTTACTCAGAACAGACAATGTACAGTAAAGTTATCTAATGATGTCTCCTTTTTGCAGTACACAATATGCAGATGTTTCTCTGGGTTTTCTTGTCCTGCATTCAAAATGCAAATGCACTTTTCTCAAAGTGGAAATACATGCTTTGCTTTAAATTATCATTAAGAAGTAAATGCTAATTGCACAATGTAATGGCTATAGAATAATGTCATTATTGTCTATTAACTAAAAGTCTGTCTCCACTTTAAGTAAAAGTTACTATTATCAAAAAATTGTGTTTCATGTGTCAAAAGTAAAGTAGGGTAAAACTTCATTTAAAAGCCTAGTCACAATTAAACGTTTTACATGCCCAGTGTGGCTACACATTTTGAAAAATAAAGGCCTGTCTCAATTAGAGGCCTGGTTGCCAAGCAGTTCTTCTTTTTTTTTTTTTAATTTTTTTTTTTTTTATAGAAACGAGGTTGTTGACTGCCTCAAATTATGTGTCCACTCCTCGATTACCCTGTAAGTTATTCTTATTTATTTAGTCTGTAAGGCTCCTCAGATCAAAAGAATCGAAAGCGTTTTTCATAAAAAGTGGTGAGTAATGTTTTAGAGGATAAAGTGCTGGGTGCCATAATCCGCAATTGCCGTAATGAGGTGGTCTTACTCTGAAGTTGGCGAAATCTGGTACTTGGGCAGTGACTTGTGGCGTCAGAAACTGACAAGAAAAAGTCGTCTTTTAACGTCGGCATGATACCCAGGTCGCCGTTATAGTAGAATAGCACTACGTGGCATCTGGGGTAAACGCTATGGGACAAGGACAAAAGTTAAAGCAGCGAAAGTCTGAGTAGGGTGGGCAGCAGTGGTGGTGGATGGGCCCAACAAACACTGACTGTCACCCCGGAGAGCAGTGTTCGCATCCTGTAAGATTATAAAGTCAAACCCTGTTCTTTTCCCTAAACCTAACCACGTGCTTTTATTGCCTGAATCCAACCACCTGCGTTAGTTGTTGGAGGAAAAAACGTCAATTTGCGTTATTATACCGACATATTGCAGTATATTTTGAAAGAAGACAATGCATGTAACAGGCAGAACTTGACACGGTGTCCAAGAATGTCAACATCCAACACACCCAGGGTACCTTTAACGTCGCATCTGGACGTGGAGGGTCCATGACCAAATGTCAATATGTGACAAGGCCTGAGTGAGAATGTGTTCTCATAACTCACTCTCACTCTGATGCGCTGTCTGTCCGAGCATGACCAAATGAATGACTCATTACTAATATATTTTCCTAAGCCTAATTTTTATACACAGAATATTCATACTAGTTTAAATAAACAATTTGATTGTATGTTCCATCTTCGCTGAACAACAGTTTTGTGTGAAAGGAATTAAAGGCCTGTCCCAAATATAGACCTGTTGATTTCAGTGATTTAAGCAAATAATAGCCCGGGTTATTAATTAAAGTTTTGCAGTACTTATTACAAGGAGTGGACACCGTCAGTGTTAAATTATTCATTTGTTACCACAAAACATTAAAGTATAAGTAGCATGATATTGTTGTAGCTCATCAAGATAAAGCAAATTTGAGCTACTTATCATACAGTTTAGTTTAATCAGCAATATTGCAAAGTATTTCATGAAGCGACCTTTCATTTGGTATGAAAATTTATAGCTGCTGCTCACCTACAGTCTGTTCACACAGGGTTTTTCCCTTATGTTGCCTAATTTGATGTCTGTACATTGTGACTGACCCTATCGTCGAAGGCACTGCTGACATCATGATGCTCAGCTTCCGTCCGATCAAGTCGTTGAGCAGCATGGCCCCCAGCCCTCCGGCTGCTGCACCCAGTGTGTAGATGGAGCCGAACCAGGCCGCCTGCTCCGTGTCCATCCTGAGCTGAGGGTCAGCATCAGGGCTCTTGAGCTTCGGCAGGACCGGAGACGAGTAGACCAGAGAGTAACCAAAGCTGAAGTTCCCCAGGACGGCCGCGAAGACGGCCAGGTACAGTCTGGAGTTATTGATCTGGGGTGGAAGGATGGGGACAAGTTAAAACCAGATGAAATAACTACAGTAAACACTATATTTTATGATTCAGAGCTAATCTTGGTGAGAAGGGAAGTGTGTTTTTTGTTTCTGGTTTGACCCAAAGTTAACTGCAGAACATCTAAAGATGAAGTCATCACAGAATTTTTTGCATAAGGACATGTGGTCTCTGGAAAATGCAGTAAGAAGCTTCCCAGAAATGATTACTTAACCAACTTTGTGCCTTGATATAAAAAAAAAAAACGGAGGGCCACAGTGTGACAGCAAGGATTTAAACTGACTTTAGTTTGGTTAATGTACTGTACGTTTACTGCACTGAAAGCTTCTGTTTCAGCCATGATGCTTTCTGCAAGTGCAACATTTAAACCAGACTGAATTTCTTGCAACCCAGCAACACTTCAGTTATGTTTTACAATTAGATGGCCTATCCTGCAAGTCAGGTTGATCGGGTTAATCAACAGAAACAGTTCAGTTCACACTTCTTTATTTGTACCACTAATAATGCGTGCTTCTTTTTTTGTTTTAGCCAGTACTTCAACTACCTGATAAAATGTGGTTCAGCCTAGACCAGACTGTGCAGTAGATTATAGGAACTATTTAAGGAAGTTGTTGTTTAGGGAAGGATCTCCATGTAGCTGTGCGCACATGTGGTCATGCCTCACTTTGATTATGAGTTTTGAATGTTGAAACGAAATCTACACTCTTGCACATGCATCTTTATTACAGTATGTGAATAAATCACCCTTTTAGTCTTCAGCAATGACCTTGAGTCACTTTCTAGACTCTCTGGGGCTGGGGCGTCTTATAGATGTCTAAATTAATCTGCTACACAAAGCCATGTAGTTTCTGACCACATTTAGTTGCACTAATTGCCATGAATTCAGACTTAAGAAACACAGCTGACCGCTCAGCTCCCTTCACTTCTGCAGAAAATACTTACAGGACATTTTATTGGGATAACTCAGTGAAGAGTGTAACATAATACAAAGAAACTTCCAGTAATAATAAATCTCAGTGCAGTGCAGACCTTTAGCAGAGCTCACATGTTGTGCTCGGGCTCAGTCAACGGTCAAGATCAGGATTAACAAAAAGACAAACAAAAACAACTAACTGTTTCCTCACTGCTGTATTTCCACAGGATACCCTGGTCTCCTCCTCTCATGACTCACTCCACAGTTTTTATCCTGGCTTATTCAAAGCTCCAAGCTTTCAACTCTTCAATTAATTGTCAACTAATTTGATAACCTATCCATCAGTTTGATTAATGTTTTTAAGAAAAATAAATGAATATTCTCTGGTTTCTTTACTTCTCTACAAGAGTAAACTGAATATCTTTGGGTTGAGGACAAGACAAGACATTCAAGGACAGGAAGGAAGGAAGGAAACATTGACCATCTTTTCCTATCATTTTCTGACATTTTATGGACCAAACAATTGGATCACTTGAGAAAATAATCGCTAGCTGCAGCCCTAGTTTAATTTGCATTAGACAAATGCACAGTTAGGACTGATTGAACACTACAGACTTGTCTGAAATAATACTGTGATTTCCCCACAATAAATTCCACTGTAATCCCTCAACATGATGAGAATTTATCTTTTTTTGTTCATGTTAAATCAGTCAATCACGGAGTACATTTGCAGGCTATTTATAAGTCAGATTTTTCATACCCTGGATTCAGATGATGTTGGTCTGTTGAGCAGTGGAGTCTCTTCACCCATGTCTGCAGCAGCCTGCACAGCCAAGCCTTATCAGAGGTGATTGATTTGAATATTCTGTTCCCGGCTCTGTTTGTTCTCCTCACCAAGCGGTGAAGTACTACTTCTGCCTTCTAAAAACGCTGCCAGACAAAAAAACTAAAGTTCATCTTGCTCCAGTGAAGCTTCCAATAAAGATGATCCTCTTTCGCAGGCTAGGATAGAAAATGAAAGCAGGCTGGAGAAATACAAAGACTAATATCTGCACTTTTCAGGTGATAAGCTGTGTGTGTGCTCCAGGGGTTTCCAGGCTGTCAGACTGAAACTGACGGTGGTTAGCTTTAAGTACAGTCACAAGGAAAGTGAAACTGGAAACTCTGTCCACACTGGGCTTTCACAAGAGACACTGCAGTGGAATATGTGAATAATTGAATATTTCTAATAGGCTGCAGTAACTGTGGAAGAGATTATTTTTTATTTTGTTTTTTAATTAATTAATAATTTTTATTTTTTTATTTTTTTTTCATCAGAATTTCAGATTTATTACGAAGTAGGTTTTCATTTACAAGGAATTTGCTTTTGGTTTTGGCGCATACATTAAATGTACAATACAAGTATTAATTTAATTTAATTTTATTTTATTTTATTTTATTTTATTTTCTTAATTTTGATTTAATTTTATATACTTTATGTCTCCACAAGGGCAAAAAAGGTATATTAATTAAAATAAATAAATAAATAAATAAATAAAATAAAATAAAAGATTAAATTAAATTAAATTAAATTAGATTTAAATGTTTATTGTTTGTTTAATGTATGAACCAAAACAGCAAATATTAAGGAGAAATAAAAAATAATGCAAATAAGTAAGTATGGAGCAGAAAAATCACTATAAAAATAATAAAAATGATACGTTAAACAAGTACTACATAAGAAATATGTAAATTATTGCTGTTTCAGAATATGAAACAAATACAATTTGTGCATGATGTGCAAAAATAATACGCTCAGTATTACACATTTTAGGAATAATAACTGTCACAGAATGTTGATGCAAAATATTGACTATTTACAGATTTAAGAGTATCTGCATTGTCTTTTAAGATCCATGTTGGATGTGAATGATAAAAGTCTAGTGTTAATAAAGCCCAAGTGTTGCAACCTGGTCATGAACAGAAAGCAGAAGGGAGGGATACAAAGGAAGATTCCTGTATTGGGTCAATCAAAGAGAAAGCAGAAGAGGAAGACAGGAGTCAGATCCCTCCTGCGAGTTGAGTCAGGGAAAGAGGAAAGTACATGCTGCTTCTCCATCAGCCCACGCATCATGAGATTTACTGCTGGTATTAGCAACATGCACAACATGCAAATAGCCTACAATAACACACATATACTGTTCCCTCTTCTGCAGATATCGAACTGTAATGTGTTGTACAGAACGGTTATGAAAGTGGTATTGTAGTGGAGAAAAACCAAAGTAATGTTTGCAGAGCAACAACTCTCAGTATTTAAACATCAATGTAACTGTGTTGTGATCCATTATTCTACATTTTGATAAACACCATCTAACAGACATCAGCTGTTTTGACAAGTTCACTTTTCTTTGTCTTCATCTGTGCAGGAGCGTGTGAGAGAGAGGCAGAGAGAGTACCTGTTAAATCCATCTGCATTTCCTCTGAGGTCCCCAGTGATGTTGTGGAAAATGGAAAGTGTGTTCTTGTCCCAGCATGTGGGTGTGTGCTTTTTGTGTATTGTATATGTGTGTGTGCATGTGTTCATTGTGTGTACACACTTTGTGTATCAAGACCAGCCCTGTTCAGCTATGTCTTTCTCTCCTCTATTTGTTCCTTCACCCCCAGATATCCACACAGCGACCCAGGCTCCCAGCTGCATCTATCCCAGCTCTGTTGCACCATGGGCAGCCTCAGTTTCAGCTGCTGGCCCCTGATCCTGCTCCATATGCTTCTGCTGCAGATTCAGGCTGTTCAGGTCCAGGGAATTGATCCCGTATCTCAGAAGCTACGACGACTCAACGAACAGGTTGGTTTGAATCAGACTGTGTATGTTTCTGTGTTTTATTATGGCGTTTTTCTTAATTATGCAAAATGATTAAAGGAGATGTTTTAACAGTGCATGAACAGTTAGAGTTGAATTAACTTTAATGAGCCTATTCTAACTAATTATTTGACTTTCTTTTGCAAAAATGTGGCTCCCTCCACCTTTAAAGTTTAATTTGAAATGGATTACACTTTCACTATTAAAGCACATTAAGCAGCAACTCTCTCTATTATAAACGCTACAGTTGAATTTCGCCACAACAACAAACAAAACAATTTTTTTTATCATAAATTATCATAATGGAATATTCATTAATTTTAGGTGCTATGGATACAAAAACACACCTCTTTTTAGACCATTTAGTATGAGGTATTGCACCTCATTTAGCTACCTATTCCTTTACAGAAAAAAATGTAACCAAAAACATTTTGTCATATCAGCCCAATAAATCAAAAACACTAACTACATACTTGTTCAAGATGTAGTTAAACCAGAATCAGGCTTTTTAACATCTGTAATGATGTTAAATTAGCAAGAACTAGCTAACTGACAAGGGCTAGCTGATGAGATAGCATTTTAGCTAAAGCTAATTTGTCTGCTTTTTCCTGTTTCCTGTGTTTAAAAAGATCATTTTAATTATCCAACATCTTAGTGGTGATGAGTCTGTTATGTGACATTAATAGAATAATAGCTAAATCTTAAATCATCATGAAGTGACACGTGATAAACTGACGCTAGTCCAGCTAAAAGCTAACTAGCCTAGCTGAAAAGTAAGCTAGCAGTTACAGCCAGCCAGTGGTGGAAAGTAGTCTAAGTGATTACATTTACTTAGATACTGTACTTACTGTACTGTGGAATGAGTCGTAAAACACAGAAATGAGTTAGCATTTCTGTATCTCTCAGCAACACATTCTCACCCCAACGTTCAGTCATGGACTTTCCACATTCAGATATAACGTGAAAGGCTGGGTGCATTGGTTGTTGACGTTCTGGGACGCCGTGTCAAGTTCTGCCTGTTACATGCATTGTCTTCTTTCAAAATACACTTCTGTTTTCACAGGAAATTTACCGTTTACATACAGTCTCTTTCAAAATAAACACGCTAAAGCACATGGTTAGGTTTAGGAAAAGAACAGTGTTTGGCTTTATAATCTTGCGGGACCCGAGTACCGCTCTCCTGGATGATGGTCGGTGTTTGTTGGACCCATCCACCGCCCTCCTGCCCGCCCCACTTGGACATTTGTTGCCTTAACTTTCGTTCATGTCCCATCACGTTTCCCCCTGATGCCACCAAGCGCTATTAAACAATAACAGTGACTGGCTGCGTATCATGCCAACGTTAAAGGATGGCTTTTTCATCAGTGTCTGACACCCTAAATCACTGCCCAAGCACCAGATTTCTATGCCTTTGGAGTGAGACCAGGTTGCACTCAAAGTTCCCTCGTCTAGAAGTCAATGGATTTTTTTAATGGGCTTGTGGTTAAATGCCTGAAATAAGGTCTGTGTTTAGCACAAGCTTAACAGACTTTCACGTTTACGACATAAAATACGTCATTAATACCCCACTCGTGAATTTTGTCTTCAAAAAGGTGGTCGCTAACAAGTGGCTAAAAGAGACTACATAACATCATCACACTGAGCTGCGCTGAACTTGGCTTTACAGTCTTGTTATGGCTGGGATGTTAGGTCATGCAACTGTAGTCTAGTTCGTCTATAGCCTAACAATAGCTTTTTACTTCTGGCGATTGCATTTAGGCTTTGGTAATCGTGAAAGCGGGCGTATTTGTGAACAAAATGTGTCAGTATCATACACGTTTGTTTTCCAAAGAGCTTATTTTCTGCAATAATCCAAAATCCAATGGAAAAATCCCTCAGGCTTTTTGACGAGGGATGCTAACTTCTGCGTCAGCCCACAGAAAAATGTCTAGGTATGTCTCTAGGTATTTTTTGATGCTACTAAGCCTACTTTGTACTTTTACTTAAAATGAAACCTTGAAGGGAGGACTTTTACTTCTAACAGAGCATTTCTACACTGTGGTACTACTTTTACTTAAGTAGCTAAAAGATCTAAGTACTTCTTCCACCACTGCTGCCGTCCCTGCAGCCTCTGGCTCTGATGAATTCATGATGTGTTTCACCTACCTTTAAATCACATTTAAGTGTTTTCTATAATGTGTGTTATGTAAGATCTGTGACAATGATTAATAATTGGGCTAAAAGGCATAGCATTAGGGTTTTCCAACTCGTACTTCTGTTACACAGTGAAGAAAAGAGCCTTAATTTTAAACAGCTTCCCTCAACTCGACTGTGTCTGTGCTACTCTTTCCAAATGTAGGACACATATGTTATCATTTTGTAAAAGTACTGCAGGTACGCAGCTAAAATGGTGAAAAACTCTTGCAACAATGATGATTGCTCAAGAGGAAAAGTCATCACAGAAGTGATTGTATGTTGTTTTTTTTCCTTCTGGAGGTCTTGAGTATTTTCCCGACCTTCACATCAGTTACCAAACAGCTGCAGAAAGACTTGTGAAAACACATTTCTTCACACAGTTCCAGCAGTTCCAGGCGCTGACCCAGGCCCGTTTGGACATGTTGGCCCAGAACCAGAACAGAAACTTCTCAGGGGGGCTGGAGAGCCGCGTTAAGGCCCTGAGTGATCACTGGCGCCACATGACACAGGACCTCGAGCAGCTCAAGCAGACCACGACGCAGGAGATCGAGGGTCTCAGGTTAGAGCGAAAGGTCAACTGTGATTATATCTGTGGGCTGATATGTCTCAGATGGTTGGTTTTGAGTTATGGAGAAGAAGTAGGCCAATATAAGTGTGTACTTCTTCCTACTTCGTTTCAGACATGTACATTTTTTTATTTTTTTGGAATAAAAGAAACAAACAATAATACAGTATTTTTAAAGAGTGTTGTCGTATTGATTATCATTATCAGAGAGTGGAGCAGGAAGCTGGAGAAGAAGAGTAAGCGTATGGAGGGTCGCCTGGCTTTGATGGAGAGGAACCTCAGAGAGAGCCGCCGCCAAGCGCAGAAACAGAAGCCCGAGCCTGAACCTGGTCAGGATTTCTTCAACCTCACCCTGGAGCTCCAGAGCCAAGAGGAACGGCTGGCTGCCCTTCAGGTTCAGCGTGACGAGCTGCTCATTGGGCTGAAAGGGTTGCAGGAATCCCTGAAGAACCAGGCATTGCGTGTGACCCGGCTGGAGGGCCGGGTGGGCGAGGTCCTGCAGCAGAATG